TCAAGGAATGGAAACGTTCAACCCAAAGATTAGAGGAATGCTCCTATCTCTGCACGTAAATTCTCTTGAAATCCCATTCATAGTTAGCTGCTGACATGAGAGATGTCACATTCTAGGGAATGATGCCAACATGTGAACAAAACATTAGGCACCCCACGGGGCACAGGAAACCTTCCACAGAGGCGGTGCCGCTGGCTGATTTTCGTCTTCACCTTAGCTGTGGAGTAACGCCTCCCCCGATGGACAAAATGCCAGGAAAAATGCAGTCACACCATCTTGCATTGTGTGTATGTGTGTGGGGGGCGTAATAAAGAGAAACATGTTCACGCAGTTTCAAGGAAAAGAAAATGTAAAATACAACGTATAATATTGAACAAAGTGTACCAATATAAACAATCCAAAAACCTGGGTGATTAAACAGCACAAACCAAGGAGAACATCAATTTAAATTTAAATCAAAGTGGAGTCATAAAACTTTACTTACTTAAATTCATTCATCTACTGAAAATCATTTTTGCCTCTAGTTGAACTAAGAAAAACATTTAATTTTCTCTTAAGTTTTAGAATAAACTTTTACATATGTTATTACTAGAAATATTCACATCATCATTGGTTTTCTCAATCAGATCTTTATGTCCATAGTTAATATCTCTAAAACAGAAGTAAATCTATGTGCCCTAATAGATAACTAAGCAAAAACCATGCACACAAATTTCAGAAGTGAACTGTTATACAAATAAAAAATATGAAAAAAAATTTCAGTATAACTGGTAACCAAAGAAGAACACATTAAAACTAAAAATATATAATTTTAATATATAATTTTAAAAATATATAATTTTAGTTATAATCAAACTGCTAAAAGTTTTTAAAATGCAACATAAATTATCTACTAATTAGCTGGTTTGCAGGGAAGCACACACTCATATCTTACTGGGAGATTATTAAATGTTATACACTTGGGGCCAGGGATATAGCTGAGTGACAAAAGCACCTGCCTGGCAAGCGCAATGACCTGAGTTCGATTCCTGGTACAAAAAAAAAAAAAGTTATATACTTTATGGAATAAAATTTAGCAGTGTCTATTATTAATTCTATAACTTAGTATGTGGGTTATTTGAGGTCAGCAATTCATCCTAAGGCATTAACCATGATTCATGTAAATACGCAGCATTAAAAATGCTTGTCATGGGTTTCAGAACAAAATGATAGGAATTAACAGTGGCTGTTATATTACATATTGTTATCTTTAATGACATTGTTCAGATTGCCAGATGTAAGAATGCAAGATTGATCAAACCATTAAAGGAAATAAAAAATAAAAACAAAAAAACATTAGAAACGATACAGAGTTTCACTAAACAAGATGGTAGGAATTCACCAGTGGTTGTTATGCTGCATATTGTTGTCTTCAAATTAGTTGTTCAGATTACCAGACGTAAGCCGTGCAAAACTGGTCAAAAAGGAAAAAATGAGGCATTAATTTTTCATTATTTTTGCTTTGTTTTATTTTTGTCTATGTTGTTGGTATTTTGCTATTGTTCTTTTTTTATTATTCTCTGTAAAATAAAATAAAATGAAAATACAGTAAAATAAAAAATGCTTGTCCTGGGGCTGACTGTGAGAAAAAGGAAAACAATGGGCTTTTCATTAGTCTAACAACTTGTGTTTCATCCATAAAATTAAAGTCTATGATAACTTTGCATCCCTTAGCCACGTTGTGTAAGGACAAGTCACAGCGTTTGGAATAGCAATGGGAAACTAAGTGAAACAGGAGCAAGATGATGCCATTATTGAACTTGTATGATATGTACTATCATACAAAAGAGGCCGGATGGCCATGCACCGGAGAGTGAGGCACTTACCTCTCAGTCACCGTAAATGAACTTCATTTTTTCTTTTTTCTGCAATATATTTTGCATATTTTTTCAACAGTAAAAATTATTTTGGTGAAGAAAAACTTTTTTATGTTTATGAAAAGAAAATAGTATAAAATGATTTGTTTAATTCTGATCAAATGTAAGGTAATAAAATGTTAAGCAATACTACAAAGAATAAACAAGAAAAGAAGTGAAAAAAAATTAAATGCCAATTATGGTCAGATCATGGTGGTGCACGCCTGCAATTCCAGTACTCAGGAGGCTGAGGCAGGAGGATCACTGTGAATTTGAGGCCAGGTTGGGCTGTAAAATGAGTTCAAGACGAGCCTGAACTACATAGCAAAACCCTGTCTCAGAACGGACAAAAAAGTAAAAAAAGAAAGCCAATTACGTACAAAGAGAAGAATTGGGACAAATGTAAGAATCACATTTTAGAATTTTGTTTCGGTCCAGGCAATACAATTGCAGTACGTCCTAGATCTTTGGTTTTTATTATGTATGCTAAAACTTCACATTTGAGTTGTATAAAGTTTCAAAAAACAAAAAGAAAGTACTATTACGTTTCATCAATATGTGAAGAGTTGTTATTTATTTCTGGCCTTACTCATAGCTTAGAAAATTCCAAGTGAAATTAAAGACAGTATACAGACTCCGTTCACTAAATGTTTCTTTTGAGTAATACCAGATGCCACCTTTAATTACAATATTTCATTGTTTTTGTAATGGTTCTATTTCTGCAGCCCATAATACTTTGCACCATCCAAGGCATTTTTATGTGCTTTAGTCCATGTATTCCCACTAAATTCCTAGGAAGTCATTTGTTTATCTTCCATTTTACAAACAGAGAAACAATAATTTAATAATGTTACATGACTTAGCAAGATCGCAGAAATGCCCAAAGCCAATGGAAAGTAAAGAAACCCAGTTTCCCATGGATAATTCGCAAATTAATTCATTACTCTGGAGAGCACCATTCATTCTAACCATGTAATGCTTACGTTTTATTTTCTTTCTATAGTAATCCACTATATTTCAGTCTTCTCTGCTGTTTCTGAGATTAATCTCTGGTAGTGTGCCAGAGCAGGTGAAGTTGGAGGATCACAGTATAAATTTTATAGCTGCTCTCAGCAAAGCTATACCAAAGTTTGATGTGTGCTATAGATGAGGTGATTAAAAATACACTTTAAGTCATCAATTAGACATCCAAGAACCTTTGAGAATAATCTAGACACTAAACTGGAGAAAATTATATTAATTGAAAAGTGTTATGTTTTTCTTCTTCCCTTATATTGTGGACTTTTCAATATAAACATTCCTAAGCACTCTCTAAGGGAAAAAATGCAAATCATTAAAATTAATCTACGGCCCATAGACTTCCCTTTTGCCATCACCTGGTTAGGTAGGAGTTTGAGAGAACCTTACATCCCCAAAGCAGTTGAGGCCTGCTGTAACCTGACTCTGGGTCCCTTTGTCTACTCCAGTTCAGTGGCTGTGCCTCCTTTCCCTGGCAGCTGCTCATGCCCTTCTAGGGACTGACCATCCTCAATATTATTTCAGTTCTTGAAGTTTTCACACAGCTGAGCATTGCCACTTGATTGTCTCCCGAGTATTTTAAATAGAGTTTGTTGAAAATGGAACCCTTCTCTTCCACTCAAACTTTATTATTATTTTAAATTTTTAACACCTCAGGAAATTAGCTGAAAATATAACCAAGTGCACAAATCATAAATCTGACCATGATCTTTGATTCCTTGTTCTGCCGTGCTTTCATTATTCCCTGTCTCAGCGTCCTCTCTTTGCCAGCTAACTATATCAAAGATCCAGCATTGTTGCCTCCACTGCCAATATGTTGGTCTATGCCTGCTGGCACAATTGTACCCCAAAATCTTCTAATCAGTGTTTCCACAACCTGATCGTGAAACAGCAACCAGATAATCTTTTAAAAGCGAAATTCCAATACCAACCCATTTCAATTTCTTCAATGGTTTATATACCATGCAATGTTCTACATTAAGTCCATATTTCACAGCCTTCCACTTCTTTTTTGAGCTTTACTGAAGTACAAAATAGCATTAATACACTGAACATGTTAAGGCAAACTATCTGATAGGTGTGACTACATTATATTTCTATACAGTCATCCCCACAGTCACCACAACAAATATAGCCATCGACAGCAAAAGTTGAGTTGTAGCCCTTGCAGTGTCTTCCTCTTCTCCCCTCCCCGTGTAAGCAGCTCTGCTTTATGTAACTCACATCAGTTGGCATTTTCCAAAGATTTACACAAATCGATTACCTCCACTTACCAAAAGAGCTCGCCAAGAGTCCTAATTAATGTCTCTATTTTCATTATTCAAAAAAGAAAAAAGGAAGCCAGAATGAAAAAGTTTCACTTCAATCATTGGGGATATACAAAAATGGTTGTCTGGTTTGCGGAGTGGCTTATGGATAAAACGGTTGAAAACTGTGATACTCTCCTGCAGTTGTACCTTTCTCAATCCTAGTAAAAGTTATATTAACAATAAACTTCCTGGGCTTTAATTAAACTTTTAGCAAGCCTTTCCTTGGTCTAATTTTAAAATCTTTGCACTCCAACCCCTTTTAAATATTATCAAGTTTGGGAGATTATCAAGTTGGGAGATGCTCTCTTTTCAGAGTCCTGTGATGTTTTTCAATGGAATTTAATGATGTTTACATCTGTTTAGTAAGTCTAATATCACCAAAAATGGACAATACAAAGAATACTCCATTATGTAAAAACTTTCCATAGACTTCTCTAGAAAAATGTTTTTCTTTAATAATATTAGTGGTTTTGTATGTTTTATTTTAACATTTTTCATAGAAGTTTGATTATGAAGTATACTATTTTTAAACGATCATTCCTCTTCCCATAATGATCACAGCATGTTTTGCTTCTTGTTGCTTTAAAAGGATTATTTTAAACTGTTCTTTACAACAATGGGTGTGAAGGAAAATGCCAAAATATAAAACCTTCACATCTTGTTGAAATTTGACATTTCCCACTAGTTAAGTAATATAAACATGCTCCACCTAAATGTGCAGTATTTTAATGGCATCATTTTCACATTTTAATTATTGTCACATTTCTTCCTCATTTAGGGAGACGTCTGGTGAACACCCGTGGGATCTAAAGAAAAAGTAAGATTTAAAACATGCTGGGGTTTTTGCCTGACTTTCAAATGTTCTTTGTTTTATTATGAAACAGTGTGACTTTACTACTGTAGGCTGTAGCTTCTTTTAAAAGTGTTAGTAATTTTATTATGGAGCACGAGGAGTAAAAATGAATTTTGGGTAATGTTAGGTTATTTAAATCTCTAAAAAAATCTATATCAGTTTTCTGTATACAGTAGGTAAACTTCAAGACATTACTTTGGGATACAGGAAAACATCATGACCTAGGTAATGGATAAGTTTCTGTTGTCAAGACAAAATATGAGCCTGTAGGTAAATTTTTAGAAGATATTGCTTTACAAGACACACTGTACATTGCTGTAATTGCCTATCTGACATCTACCTAACAGTGGAATAAGTCAGTGCGTGTTAATTTGCTGCCCTAAACTCTGCTGCCTGTGTAACTATGTTTTGATTAGCACTAGAGTCTGGGACATGCAATCGACCCATTCCTCGAGTGAGATATGTTGAGATAATGCAGGTAGAATCTTCCATAAATGGGGTGGGAATGAGAAAGGGCAATAGTCCGAAGCTGAGAAAGTGAAAAAGGAGAAAAGTGAACATAATTAGGAGAAAGATGGCAAATCTGCATAAGAATAAGCAAATAATGTAAGCAAATAGATCACGTATTGGAGAAAAAGGCATTGTGATCACGTAGAAGAGAGGAAACAGAGGAAGAAGAAGTAAATGTAGAGAGCAGGAGTTAGAAATTAAAACTAAATGGAGACAAGATATGCAATAGGTTTCATTTGAGAGGAAAAATGGGTGACAGTCGTAAAATATAATAAAAGGAAAAAGTTTCATTTTTAATTTCTGCTGTTTAGCTTATTTGACAGTTTTGTTCATTGAAACTAGAATGTGAACAATTTAAAAATAGAAGCATTGAAAATTTTTATCTATTTTATTGAAAAAAATAATTTGAGTCATTATGTAATTATTTGATGTTTCTGAGATGCTTGCTTTACGCAGAATTTAAGTCATATTTAAATGACAAAAATGTTTCTTGATCTATTCCAAGTTGTCTTGCTAGTGTTCGAGATTTTCTGTGCCCGCGAAATCACTTGACTTGTAAAAAAGTTAAAATCAAGCATTTAGAGAGGTGAAAGAAGTTATTAAAATGTGGTTCTTGTCTATAGAAAGCATATGTTCAACAATTCAAATGTATAGTTAGAATAGTTTCAAATCACTCCCACATTCAGAGACATAAAGCACTAGAATTACCCTGTAGTTATCCTGTAATTGCTACTTGCTGGCAAAGGAAAGGTTAACACTAGTACATATCTCAATTCTAATGTGCAGGTTTACCAAGAAATCTGTAGAATTGAGTTTTTCTGTCCTGAAGTGCAAGCCATAAAGATTCACTGAGGTAACCTCCCTCTGCATTGACACACGGATGCAAATCAGCAAACATCCCTGTACATCAGTAGCACTTGACAGGTGTAGCTCTAAGTTTATGTCCACTGATGTTGTTTATTGCTTTTAGGGACTATAACGTGTCAAGCTTTTACTGGCAAAACAAAAGGGTTCTTATTAATAATTGAAATATGTTCAGAGAAATTCGTTGGTCATTTATGAGCCGTTATGAAGGAAGTTATTATGACTGGCCACTGTGTTTCATAATCACAGAGCAGAGCTCAACAGTAGAATGAGAATCTCTCATTGACTCTAAACCCTAAATACTAAGTGGAACCTGGCACTACAACTAAATGACAGAATTTTCTGGTCCTCGATGTTTTCATGTTTAACATGAGCTCGGTCCTACCTACTGACAAGACTGCGGCATTTGAGCCAGCTCTCACTCTCAAAGTATTTGGTCCACACTACTGAATGACATAACTTGGGGTGTTGGGTCCTAGCTGCCTAGCAGCTCCTGACTATAATCCCTTGAGCTGCACAATGACTGTGCAAGAAATGTTGCAGCTGTTCGTAGCTATCACCCTCATGGCTGTATATCTATCCAGAGTGCAGGAAAACAACTTTCGTCCTCATAAAACTCCTCACTGGCTACTGGGGCCTTACACTTCTCCAATGGAATAAAACTAAGACCAGAGGGTCTCACTAGTACTTACTAGTACTAGTACTAGGCGAGGTAACTTTATATACATCTCCTCTTATAATCCTCAAATACATCACATAAAGTATATCTGATTGTTCCTGTTTTCTCAATGATTCTCAAAAGAGCGTGGTAACATGCCTCAGAGAAGCTGGTATTTGAACCCAGAACTCTTTCCACAGCTCATATGCATTCTAAATGCACATTACTAACTTCCTTAAAGAAAGGTCCTTTTTTTAATGCACATATTTGGGGGAGAATTATCATAGTGATTTCATCTACACTGGTGTGGAGAAAATGTTTAAAAGACATGACAAATCTTTAAGGAAGAGCAAGACTTACTGTTACTTCCCTATACATCACTGTGTACCTGTGTTGAGCTGCAGTAAGATGTCTCAGAGTTGTGCTGTGAATGTGGCCTACAGGGAAGCATTAGGAAGGAATTTCAAGAAAATCTGACAACTTTTCCTCTTTGGCTGGTCAATAGCAGAATACCTCAAGACTTCCTTATATGTGCCTTTAAGATTCAATCCTTGCATTCCTAAGGTAGAGTAGCAGAGACAAGTCCCAGTTTTTATATTTCTCCTGCAAATAGATCACGTATTGGAGAAAAAGGCATTGTGATCACGTAGAAGAGAGGAAACATAGGAAGAAGAAGTAAATGTAGAGAGCAGGGGTTAGAAATTAAAACTAAATGGAGACAAGATATGCAATAGGTTTCATTTGAGAGGAAAAAGGGGTGACAGTCGTAAAATATAATAAAAGGAAAAAGTAATGTAAGCATATTCAGCATTCTTCTCTTCCATAACCAAAAACCAAAGATCTTTTCTGTGGGCTTCTGTTTTTCTGCTGACGATGTGAAATCTGCACTTCATTTGAGTTGGTCTAAGTCTACTTGCTGAAGTCACAAATGAAAGTAATTACTTTATCCAAATGTACATTGAACAGTCCCTTTGAGACTCCAGTCTGTTAGACTTTTTGAGCAAAAATGATAAAAGCTGCTGGAAAGATTAAAATAGGCTCACATGATTAGTTATTTAATTTTAAAAATAATTATTTCTCCCCAACTGCATTAAAATAAATATGCTTTTAGACAAACTGATTCTGACTGGTTAGAATGTTAAGTAAAATCCACAAAGTATCCACTTTGTACTGTGTCACACGCATGAATATACTTACATGTACACAGACGTAAATGCACTCAGACTTACACACATACACGCACAGAATAGGGGAAGAACACCCCCTTCATTTCAAATTCTACTTTATATTTCTAACAGAAATAATGGTGAGAAAGTGATTATGAAGAAAGGATAAAATAATTAATCCTTAAAAGTAAGGGCTGGGGATTTAGCTTAGCAACACAGCACCTACATGGCAAGCGTGAGGTCTTGAGTTCGATTCCTGGTACCGGAAAAAAAAAAATCCATAACTGTGTTACTGTGTCTCTAAATGTTTTTTTTTTGTTGTTTTTTTTTTTTTTTTTTTTTTTTTTTTTTTTTTTTTGGTTTTTCTCCGGTACCGGGAACCGAACTCATGGCCTTGCGCTTGCCAGGCAGGCGCTTTGCCACTGAGCTAAATCCCCAGCCCCTGTGTCTCTAAATGTTAAGTAACCTATGGCTATCTAATCACTAGGTTTTAAGTAATAGCCAACTAGATTTTAAGTAATAGCCAACGTGTTTCAAAGCAGGAGATGAAATGTGTTTAGGGTAATATCACAGTATAGATCGCTTTCTTTGGATTGTCTCCCATGTAAAGATACTACTTGGTAAAGATGACAGTAATATTGATTGCTTCTTAGTTGTACTGCAATTACCATAGATAAACACATTTCTTTTTTCCTTCGATTATCCCTGGTAAGGAATTTCCAGACGAACACTATATTTTCTTTAGAATTGATTGTGTTCTTATCATTCTAGGTAATCACATATGTATCCTCCATCCTTTTATAAAACTGGACTTAATGTGTAGAAAAGTTCAGAAGAAAAAGGTGAGCTTCTAGATAGCCCTTTTGAGGGCACCGCTGAAGTTATTATAGAAACATTTGGAGTCTTACACAAGACAAGGAATCTAAATTGCACAACATAGCCACGTTTCCATCTAGACTGTGAGAACCAAGTGTTATCTTGGGATCATGGAGGAGTCATTTAAAAATATCAGCTTTTCTTATGAAACTCAAGTAATAAATGCTTCCAGAAAAGATGAGTTTATAACAAAGGACCAAAGAACCGTTTATTATACACTGCTACCTCTTTATTTCCAAAGAGTTACTGTTCCTCTGTGAATTCTACACAGAGCATATGGTTTATCTGCTATTGAAAAAAACAAAACCTGTTCATTACCTGCACCCATCACTGGTGATGAAGATGAGAATTCATGAAAAGGGTGAAAGTGCAGACCTCAGAGCTCAAGCCTGGGGGCGCACCTACAGTACCATCTATTAGTGAGGCTAGAGGCTAGTTAAACTGCAAGATGCGCCTAACAAAGGATTCATTTAACCTAAGTCTGCACACTGAAACCTTAAGTGAGACTCTTTATGAATGGGAAATGTTTAGCCACACAACCTCAAGGACAGAACCAATGTTGATAATGGTGACTTCACTACAATCAGAATAAACACACTGGCTACCTCCCCTTAGCTGTTCAAAGCAAGTATGCCCTGAGTGTTTGTGTTATTTTGGGTGCCTGGCTCAGGAGAGAACTGCTCCTGTCTGTGCTCCCTATACATTTGGTAACTATGCAACAGTAGCAAAGCCTGGCTCTTCTACACTTTCTTAAGTCACATACTTACATCTGGACAAAAGTTAATTCTTAAAAGGCCTATTTCATGACAGTCATTAATAGCACCTCCAGTGCTACTTACCATGCTCTAGGGAAAGGAAGCAGAAGCTTGCTGCTTCTTCCCTTTAGGGCA